ACGTGCCAGACATAGGTTGTACTGCATCAAGTTTATTATAGTTAAAGATAATGAAATTACGAAATACAACACATAAGTATTTAACTAACCTAATAGTTAGTTTAATTAGACCCCCATAGTGTGCTGAATTATCTTCATAATTAAATGCATAAGAGAAGAGGAGAGTTTTAGATGCAGCTTAAATGCGATAAAATTACTTGGCTTATATCGAAGTCATTTATTTTTATAAGTTGATTATATAAAAAAAATTGAAAACCTAATTTCGATGATTTGAAGTACAGTTTTGTATGTATATGGTATAAATTTGGGGGTTTATTCTCTGATAATTTTATGCATTGAGTGTGTGACAAATTTCAAAGATAAACGGTAATGCGTAATGCTTATAATGAAAACAATAAACTTATCTTAATAAACTTAGATGTCATGAATATAAAAATCAAAAACATGCGTGAGGCATGATAATTAATAAAGAGCAGTAAAGCAAGAAATCTTAAAAACAGCATTATTAATCTGATTTTATTTATTTCACATAAAATTTGTTTTAAATATGAATTTCAAATGTAGTTCAGTTTTCCAATGCTTTTTGTTTACATTCTTTACTTAAATTCATACAAATTTAAACCGAATTTTAAGAGCCTCATTAATACTTTAACCTTGATCATATTCTTAGCAAGAAGAATAATTTTAACGTCAATTTCGATTAAATTCTTAGATCATTTCAAGATCAAATTATCAGTTTCTACTAAATTTAAACTGTTCAAAGAGCAAAACAGAATGCTGATTTTTTTTTATATATTTTAACAAATTCACGTGAAAATTAATGACAGCTTTGCATGAAAAGATATTACTTATTCAGTTTCAAAACTCATTTCTTGAATAAATACATTCTAATAAATGTTTATGCTTTACTATTAAAACTACAATTTTTACAGAATGTAATTCTCTACAAAAATGTTGATTTTACATTTAATTAATTCACACGCCTGTTAATCATATATAAATTGATAGGATTTGACTGAGAAGATGCGAAAAGTAATCAAATACAATAATAATGGAAGAAGTGATAAACTGCCTTAGCTTTTAAAATTCTTATTTTTAACTTTCAGGAACGTAGAACTTTGGGATCATTTTAATATACTTAAATTTTAAATTTTGTAAAAACTTCCTGTGCCGTTATTACGCGTGAAAAGTGCTATATTTGAATATAGATTCTACTTTAAATACAAATGTATAAAATCAATCTCTGTTGACAAACCATTAATGCAGATGCAAATCTCTCAAGAGAATTATAGACCACACATTGCCTAATCAAAAATATAAAGGGTAAAATACGAAACTTATAGTCCATCAACAACAAACATAATTTACACAGCATTTATAAAATAATTACGCAAGTATTATTAGTTGTAACTAAGAATAAAAAAAAAACACATCACTCATATAATAAATAATTGTAATTCCGAATTTGAGAATGGATGATGACAGTTCAAAATTAACGTGTAGTGACCGTTTAGAAAGCAGTTTTCAAAAAACAGAAAGCATATGCGTTATCAGTGTAAGAATTTTCAGAGCTATCTGCCAAATAAATGATACCTTTACAGAAAACAGAGAGAAATTAGCATAGTGCTGTTATGATTAGGGAAAGATCATGGATATATCAACGCAAAACAAGGAAGCACACGACAAACTACCAGAGTTTACGGATTCAAGCTGCTTGACACTGTTAAGGTCTTACCAGCATGGGAAGTCGTTCGAACAACTCAGCGCTAGATGTAACTTTCCATATCTGCACTTCAGATGTTACGTCACTCAATAGGTTTCATAAACCACGATCCGGAAAAAGGTGAAAATAGCTGTAAATTTGCTTTTCTATTTATTAATAGCTGGCACACATTTTACGCGAAACGTTTTCCTGCAGGTTTCTTATACCATCATATTAGTCAAAGGATTGCTAGTCTTGTAGGCACTAACCCTTGACCAGTGAAGAAAGTGCTGTTGTAGTCAATCCGTTACATCTTTGGCGTAAATGTTAGATTTGGTTTGGTTTACTTGGATTACTGCAAATTTTACGGTTTTCTTGGATTACGGCAAAGCACACTACGGCTATAAGCCTAAGGGGAGATGCCTTCATAAACTACTTTCGAAGGAAAACTGGCTTATATACACATTATACATGGGAAAAACAACGAAAATGTCCATGCAGCTAGTCCGTTCATCTGAAAAAGAACACAAGTCGGAATAACCAATGTTCAGTAACTTAACCGCTGTGTCGCTAGCATAAAGATTATCAGAGTTCAGTAATCGAATTCATTTAGTAGCTTGTAGATCTTAGAGAAGAGGCAAATCCTTATTAAAATAGTAGTGTGATTAGCAACTTCCACATTAAATGAAAATAATTAAAAAATTAATTAAATGAAAGAACTCAATATTCTATGCTTCTGCATAAAAATCTGATTTCAACACTAAGCAGCATATTCTATGCTTCTACGTAAAAATCTGATTTCAACATTCAGCAGTATATTCTATGCTTCTGCATAAAAATCTGATTTCAACATTTTACTTGCAGAATTCAACATTTTACTAATTCCCTAAATCAACATTTTGCCTGCGTTATATACTAAATAGTCAGAAAAATAAATGAGATTAAAGGACAGAAAGCTAGCAAACTATTATAAAAAAGTACCTGTTGCTGCTTATAAGCATCAATGCGGATTTACGCCGAACTAGGCGTTGAAAGCTGCTTTCAGGATCCACCATTTTTACGGTTAAAAAATGAAAACGTTGTCTTTCTCTTCTTATCGCAGAGTTTGCGATTGTAGCTCGAGGTGACATAAATTTAAAACTTTTATATTTAAGCTGCAGTCAGTGTGGCCGAGAAAAAGACGTGTGAGTGATTAAATTCTTTATAGCTCATCACCGAAATTTTCTCCTGCATTATAATAATTACGGTATTCTCAGAACAATATTTCGCTCTACGAAGCTGAAGAAGTTATGTTAATACTATTCCTAGTACTTTAAAAACATAATTAAAACGTTTCTAAAATTTAGAAGCTAAATTATCCATTTCTGTTTAAGATTTACTTTGTTTTGCTTTTTCTTTCTAACTCAAACCTCCTCAGAAGTTAGGGTGGAATAGGAATATTTTATTATATCCAAGCACTTTATACCCACTTTGTTCAGTTTGCCTTAGTTCCTGGCTGCGGTGCCACACAAAGCGCATGCCAGCACATTTGCTACAACAAAGAGAGAGAAGAATCTGTTTAACCTCCTGGATATGCTAAAGGATGTTGCAACAAAAGCATGCATTGTAGCAGCTTGAGTGAGAAAGCAAGGGTCGGATAGCAATATCAGGCACAAAGCAAAAATAGGGATCAAGAAATGTCAGATGCATATTACATCTGTGTAAATTACTGAGAATAATAATAGTAGCTTATTTAAAAAGAAAATATAAATTCATAAACTATTACTGACTGATCCTGGAAGTGTGGTTTTGTAGTTAGAATCTAAGAGGACACAATGATTGAGGACACACCTTGAAATAATATTTTGTGGCCAAGAGGGCCTAATTCGGCGACTAGATTTTCACAACTTTCAGTGCCTTCTCCCGTTGCTTGGTTGACCGTTTGATATCCAGCATGTAATAGCAGTTTAAACCACAGCTGGAGTGAAAATGTTAATTTAATTTAATAATAGTAGGAATTTACATCACGTCTGGAGTGGTAAAGTTAGTTAAATTTGCCATCTGTAATTGCGACTCAGTGAAAGCATTTTTAATCATAAAATTTAGCCAGTCTCTTTACACATTACTGAACGATTCGAACTCACTAAATTTGAAAACTTGATTGAATGTCACTGAAAACCTAAATAGCATTCTAGTTCTTAGAAAATTAACTTTTAAATCTCCATAAAGTGTATTCAAAACATCAGTATGTTATTCACCAGATTGCTGATGCAACGACATAGATTGAAGAAAACACCATTCCGAGTGCATCATGAAATCGCATAAACTATAAAATGCTGTCTCACATACCTTGAAAAGGTATATCAGCTATATGGTAATTCATATAGAGCTGCATGTGTATCTTGGAGTAGTTAAACAACAAGAAACAACCTAATGTTTGTAAGTTTTGCAAGACTAGTTTTGATGGTTTACAGAACCATCTTCTTCAGCTGCCTAATTAAAAGGAATGAGATAGAATATGGTGACAAGAGAACAATGACTGGAAAGAAGTCAACATACTGGCGCCATCTATTGATGAAACAAGGAAACTGAAACATAATTTCCTTAAGGGCTGGGGGTAAAGTTGGATTGGAATTAACGTCGCTAACCAGAACAGAAAGATTTTTTGAATGTGAAACGCCTCTAGGAAATCTAATTCACCAATAGAACACGTTGTTTGAATAATTTTGACTGCAGATAAGTATAAATGGTGATTTTTCCGACCAACAGTGCTGGGCAATAGAGGATTTCTGTGTTTTCTTTTTCCGAACATATGCCTCATGTTCTTTAATACGAAATTTTAAGGCTCTCTGCTCTCTTAGTTTGACCTAATGTAAATTAAACCACACTGACAAAGAATCCTGTAAATACCCCAAGAATTCGTATCCGGAATAGGGTATTTAATTATGGAACTGGAAATTTTTTTGATAGAAGAAAAAAAAAGACCCGAAAGTTAAATTTCTGTAAAATATGTGCAATTTTATAGCGAATCAATGGAAAGAAAAGAATGACAACAGATTCCCTATAATCTCCTAAAACGAGAGGTTTTCTTTTGTTGTGTTCAGATGAGAAATTTTTAACTGCTTGGTTAAAAATGTTGGGCGGAAAGCAAAAGCAACAGCAACTGCTTTTAAGTAATTTAGTTCTTGAACAACAGCCAGTTTGGAGGAGCAAACTTGAAGCGCGCTGGAAACAAGGGTATGAAGTGAAGCTAACTTCTGTTTAGTCGAATGACATGATTTGAAGTGCGGTGGAAGACAAACAGACGAAGGTTTACGGTAAACAGTAGTACTGAAGTTGGTAACGTTATCTGTGACCACCGAGAAACGGAAAAGAATTAGATGTCTCAAGTTTAAAAGTGAAATGAATAGCAGGATCAATAAAATTACGTATGTATAAAGAAGGTAAGTTTAAAATGTCTATCGTTCACTCAGAGTACCTAGGACAATAGTTTATAGTAGTTTACACGGTGTGATGAAGCACTCGAACTGAAGGTTTCGCCGATCTGTGTCGTTACACGACCTGTCTGTTGAATTCGTTATAAAGCTATATGTACGAGATCAGTATGATGTTTTTTATGTTTTGAAGATACAGGACAATTTACAATAAAATTTTATTAATTTTTTTGTAAACTCCTTTAACCTCTCAGTAATTGTTGAATGGAAAATTATTTTAAATGGTAGATCGTAGTAACAGTAGAAATATATTACGATCTACCATTTATTATAATATCGGCTTCACGCAGCCGCAATTCAAGATTGAAATGGAAATAAAATCTGGGCTTAGTTGACGCTGCTTTATTTATCAGATGGCATATCATTATGCAAAAAGCTGTTTTGGAACTATGCGCATATCTAAATATTGCTATTTCTGAGAATACAAACAAAAGTATGGTTTCATCTAATGCACTGTACAGCACAAAAGTGCTTCAAAAATCGATTTTTCAATTTGAATATTTCTTTTCCTTTCAAATTTTTCTATTGTCAAAATATTTTCCCCTTCTTAGAGAAAGGCTTAAGCGCTGATCAACATGCCAAGGAAAGAAAAAAGATTCTGCATTTGTATCTTATTTTTATAATTGTAAGAAAAGGTTTTAACAGCTTCAAAGATTTAATTGCCAAACATTAAAACAATTGAACATTCTAGTAAATAAGCTAATTTAAAATACTGATACGAAGAGAGATTACACCCTTTAACGATTTATCTCAGCAATATTTTTGCTAATTTGGAGGCGAGGTTAGCAATTTGCTGATCATTTTTAAAATCTAATTAAATCAAATCCTTTGCTCATAAATGTTACGCCTTTTTATACTTTTGAGCACTATTTAAAAAATTACACGGAGTAAATTAAAAATGTGGGGATTTCTTACCACGAAGTAAATAAGAATCAATATTTTTTATCAAGTACTTCATCAAACATATCCAAAAATCTCTAACCGTTCTTAAATATTTCAGCTCTGTACATATTATTGAGTTACAAACTCTATTTAAGTAAGTTTTTTCTTCCTTTTCTTTAAAAAAATTATGGAATGCCAAAATTTCTCAACAGTATATAAATATTTTAGTACCGGAATATTGCAATGGATAATCGTACCTTTTACCTGTTCATGAAATTTTATGATGGAAAATTCCTACTTGGAATAATGTTACTGAGATATCTTTTCTTTTCATCCCTTTAATTTTTTTTTTTGAGGAAACTTTCATCGAAAAGACTAGAGAGATTTAAGGAGAGACACAGACATACATAAAGAGGTGGAGAGAGATAGAGGGATGAAGAGAAAAAGAAAGGAAGGCAGACAAACTCCGGTAAAGTGTTCTAACTATTAATAAATTTATCATTAATAAATTGATCTGTATCCTTTACACTACGTTATAAAATGCCTGGTTTCTCATAAGTTAGAAATGCATCAGCTGGAAATAAATTTTTGCATTAGCATCCTCACCATGTTTTAACCTATACAAAGGCAATAGGTTTCGAAAATTGCGACGTCCCTTAAAAACACTCATTTTTAAAATGATATGCGAATTCCATTGGCAGCAGCACATAAATGTTTAAAGAAAGAACTTAATGCTTCGAGTAAGAGGTCTTTTCGTACAATATACTTTTTCATTTTCGAACTATATCGCTTGATAAGGTAGAAAACTTATCACACTAACACGCTGGCAATTTATCAGATTAATAAGCTATGTTTAAATTCTAAAATTATGTCCAGAAAACGTCATTTGTTCAAGTGATTTTGGATCAGTTAGAACAAACATACACGCACCCTTCAGACAGCTTTCTCTTTTTACTGCTGTTAGTATCACATGCATTTTGATTATGACATTATTTGCTGCTTTTGTGTGAAAAGTATAAAAACATACTCATCGTTTTTTCTGCTAATTATTTGTGTGATAATTTCTTTGCGTTTTATGTTAAAAAATCAGTATTTTAGCAAATTAATGAGAATATTTCATAAAAAATTTATCGGAACAGAATAACAATATGTTATATTTTATACGACTCACGTAACAGCAAAATAAATTAAAAAAGCTATATGAGGAGACTGTCTTTAAATATAAAATTATCTCCATCGCAGTAACTATGCGCATATCTAATTTTTATTTCCTTAAAGACTATTTATTCCTTAATGACTTAAAGACTTAAAGACTTTTTATTCCTTAATGACGTGTAACGTTGTAACAATTATAGTCGTAACAGGTACATAGAATAAACACCTGTTGCATTGACATTTAATTCCACCCACAATCAAGAATATTGACAGCGTCAAAAGAAAAATTACATACGACATAATAACTTCTATTTCCGACTAAATGAAATGTTTAACTAAAATTAACATACTTTTTGAAATGTGTAACTATAACTTGTACTTCAAAAGTAATCTTCTGCGCAGTTATTCAAACTGCAACAAATATCTTAAAAAGTTGTTTTTTGAAATTTTTTAGAATAATAAAGAACTTTCCTGTTTTAAAACTGCTGTATATTCAGTGGTTTCAGATTGCATTTATTTTGTTGGAAATCACATAATTTAAATGACATGGTTGCAGATTAAGGTTACTGTCAATTAAATAATGATTGATACTCCTTCAAATTACACAGATATCTCAATTTGTATCAATTTCAAAGCTACTCGCGATCATAAACTTAACTTCATAAAGAAATAAAGAAGTCAGACGGAAACTTATTTTTGAAAACAGTTTATGACCTGTATGTGCATACACCCATGCATGGTAAATTAATAAATGTATTCAGAAAACGGATGTGACGTAATTATTTTAATTCAAATATGCATAATCCTGTATATTTACTTCATGTATAGTATGTACTGCATTTTGCACTTCTTGTTTTATCTGCTGCATTTTACTTGAGTAACCTTGTAAAGACTCTAATTACCCAGCAGATTTATAAGGAATTAACGTGTCCCAATCCCGTACCTGGTAGGGTCGTAATACTGGCTACACGAGTCCGGTTCCTACTATCCGAAAGGTTGGCCTATGCTGCTCCGGAGGATAGTGGCTTCGGCCATCCGAGTGGATGGCGCGACGACTAATACCTTCATCGATTTCATAAGCTCCACACTTTTAGTAATGTGTCTGAGAGATAAATTCTAGTGCCCAGAAATATCATCTGGTTCTATGGTGCATGGAAATTTCAATCCCCGTTCGATAGTGGGATATCTGAGTGGTGGGGTATAAGAGAGTTCGCTAATACTATCCCTCTGTAAGCTTACGAACACACTCTCACGTCTAATACGGATAACAGAAGAAGGGTGAGTACGAGTAGTTGCTTATATGGTAGCAGGAAGGAATATACAAATTGATTAATCCAAACTTTCATGGATGCTGTCATAGTGTAAGGTGGTTATTTAGCCCACTTAGCAAACTGGAAGGTTTGGTTCGAATGCCGGTGAGGGAATAGTTGATTTTTCACATTTCTCGTTCCAAAACTCCTAATAGTTTCTACAAATTATTGCCTAACATGCCTAGCATGGAAAATGAAAATTTCCATGCATTTAACGACAGTTAAATTCTGTGACCACATGCAGCTCCATAAGTGTTGCTGTTAATATCGCGGTACAGTTAATTTATCACTTGAGTCTGCAGAATCTACTTCGCTTTCAAAACTAGAAAAAATAAAAAATAAATAAATAAATAAAAAAGGGGTTTGCAATGAGCTTACTGGGATTTGAACTCAGAACTCCCGGTGCTAACAGGAAATGGTTCCAGTTGCAACTCGAAGGCACACGATGAGGGAGGAGAAAATTTCTTACAAGTTTATATTCAACGCAAATGTAAATTTGGACGACATTACCTTAAATAAAGTGTACTAATAAAAATAATTTTGTTTAATAAGTTTGTAAAGGAAAATTTTCAATTGATAAGGGAAAGAAAGACGGAGAAAAGAGGAGCTAGGGGATTAAAAACAAGGTTTAAATAAATTGCCGATAGTATAGTCCATAAGAGGCTAAATAAATCTACTGGACTGTCATATTAAAATGATTTATCAGCAGGTCTGATATACGTATAGATGTGAATTATTTTATTTATTTGTTTCTCTTGTTTAAGAATAAGAAAAGATTTTATGGTATAATAAAACAATCTATAGGTGCAATAAAAAGCAGTCCTCACCCCGTTAAAAGATAAAGAAAACAAATACACGTTTCTTATATTTTATTGCACATTTGAAGCTGCACGTGCCGTAAAGTAAAAGTCTAATGTTAGATTACGCCCGCTTCAGCTGTTGAAACGGTGCTGTTTTTAATGACTAAGTGCTACCTGTGGTTTCGAGAAAACCTATTAAAACTATGCTGTTATGAACTCTACAACTTAAAAACATACTCTGATATGGTCATTTATTTGCTAAAGCAAATGTTTTTTATCTGAAATAATATACATTTTAAAAAGTTTTATGTTTTTCGTATAGGGTTCACTCTTTTCTTTTCTTTTATATTATTATTATTATTATTACTTGTGGGTGCTATTACTTATGCTTATTATTATTTTCGCTTGAGTGCAGAGCGGTTTTATTTTAACTACAAAAAACTTGCAACCTCGGTTACTTTTTTTCCATTGGGACGCGAAAAAATTTTATGTTGTTGAGTTTAAAAAACTGAATAGTTTAATAGTAGTAAAACGTAATAAAACAAAATACGGATTTATGAGGTTACCCATTTCATTCTAATTTTCAAAGATTCTACCGGCTCTTAAAGAGTACGAAACAATTAATTAGTTAAATTATAAGCAACTCAAATGTGTGTCAAACGTTTAAAACACCACAGTTTAAATTTATGATAGCCTCAACATAGTTCTAATAGACCTTTAAAATAAAAATTAAAAAAAAAATAAAAGAAATTCTGTCTTCACTAGACACGGATTCTGCTGCAACACAAGTAGTTCGCCAGCTAATATCAAATTTCCGAAGTCTTTTGCTTCTCCACCTCAATCCGTCGTATAAAGGATTGCAAGAACTCATTTTCAATTGAAATCAGTCAGTCTTGTAATTGTTCTTGCCGTAAACATAGTTCTATAAGCGAATCATGAAAATTTAGAAACCGATCACTTTTACGTTTCCTTAAAAAAGGTATCCCTTTTAAAAATTTAACAAGCACCACATTCTTACATTACATTTACCATTCCCCAAATTTTACAAGGTTCTCGGAAAAAAGGTCTATTAGAACTATGTTGAGGCTATCATAAATTTAAACTGTGGTGTTTTAAACGTTTGACACACATTTGAGTTGCTTATAATTTAACTAATTAATTGTTTCGTACTCTTTAAGAGCCGGTAGAATCTTTGAAAATTAGACAGATGAAATGGGTAAACCTCATAAATCCGTATTTTGTTTTATTACGTTTTTACTATTATTAAACTATTCAGTTATTTTTAAACTCAACAACATAAAATTTTATTCGCGTCCAAATGGAAAAATGTAACACGAGTGTTGCAAGTTTTGTAGTAAAGAATAAAACCCGCTCTGCACTCAAGCGAAAATAATAATAATAAGCAAAATTTAGAGTGGTAAAAGGACTGAAAGAAGCGTTTTTTGCTTCGGAATGTGTGCCTGAAATTGACGCGTATAATGCCAATATATGGCACCTGGAAGTAAACCCATCAATTTCCTACCACATATTTTACCACTGATGTCAAGAATTATTTAGACGTCATATATTTAAACCGTTGAATAGGTCGAGATGAACCTATTCGTTGGGCACTACTATTCCCAGATTTGTCATGTCCGGATTTTTACTTGTAGGGGTAGCTTTGAATCCATGTGATGACGCTCTGAAGCGTGTGTTCATGTCAGTGGCCACTCGTCTGATCATCCATTGTTAACCGAGTGCTCGTTAAAGAGTTTGTTAAATTTCCTTCAGCCTGCCCTTTTGTCACCTTTAACATTTTTCATCACCAACGCTTAAACACATCATTTCTGGACACATATTCTATGTTAAAAAAAGGTACTTATTATGGTTCCTTGTAACATCCTTTAAACATTTACCAGTTATTTTCCGAGCACTCTGCATATGACATAAATTTTTAAATATTAATATGAGGGTAGCCACTTTTAATTATTGCAAAAATGCGTTTGTAACTTTAATTTTTGACATTAGTAAGTCTTCTCCTAATTCCTTATACTAAGGACTCGCTTCCATGTAATTCCGAATGCTTGAGTTTAAATTTTCTAATTATTTTAAACCTTCATTTTAATCATATAACTGATTTTGTTTCTGCCTTATTAAATTACACCAATTTTCTTTACGCAGTAGCTTTCAATGGAAAAAAAAAATCACAAAAATCGCGCAAAAAT